TACTTGCGTGAGGTACGGACTACTCTTGTGAGGTGAAGGGTTTGTAGAACCGGGCCACATGTTCAAAATGGAAAAGAATGGCTGGGGAGCGAATTAAAATGTACCACAGAGAGGGAGCACAGAGCCAAGGCGCATCCCCTGTCTGTCATCAACAATCCCCTTCTACTGACCCTGCAGTTTCTGCAGGAAGCTTCCTCCAGACTTCCTTGAAGGGGATATTAGAGATGCCCAACATCGGCCACTGGAGCAGCTGAGAATAAAGGGAGACATGGGAGAGGGTTCTAAGGGAAACCCCACTGACACCACCCACTCCCAAAAGTGCCTAACAACCATATCGACCCAGCTGTCACATTGTTTTATTTTCGTTAGAAAACCCACTCAGGAAAACTACTTGATTCTGATTTGCCCTCTGCTAAAGTGCTTCCAACCCAGGGGGGAATGGTGTTTGCAAAAGCTGGAAAATGCCTGAAGGCACTTAGTTATTAAACCTCAAATGTTGTGCCTTGCCTAGTGAGCTGCAGCATTTATGTACATAAGCTTTGTCTACTGGTCTATTCAGTCACAAACAGCCTGAATAATGAAGATGGACGCGCTTGGCTGCAAGTATCAAATGGCAGCAGTAGTGACTGCGAATGAATAAAATGGGGAAAAATAAGAACATAAAAGGCTTCTGCCCTTAGCGGCTTGGCTGTTGGAGTCTGCTCCATGGGCCAAGGGTGACTCAGGGAGGGCAGCATCAGGGCCAGGGTAAATCCTGAACAGATGTATGTGTGTTCCCATCTTAAGGGTTTACACAAGGTCTGTGCACGCAGAATGCTTAGAACTGAAAGGAGATATGATGGATATCACAGTTTTAACTTTTCACCCATGGAACACTAAGACAACCCCTAGAGATGTTTTTAGAAAGATGCACCAATACATCCATGGGTATTTCTATATTTGACTGCAAGGTCTGAGGTAGTAGTCTAGTGCAATGCCAATGACACAAGTTTTGGGGAAGGCATCAAGATTACCTAAAAATATTAAATAGGTGTCTAGTGTGGAATAATCGCATCGGTTGCAAATCTAGTGTCTAATGGATAAGTGTCTGCATCAGAAAACCAGCCCAGTTGGCACCAATTGGCCCCTTTGTTGAATGCCCCAGAAGAGAGACAAAGGAATCCTTGTAGGTGACGGATGGAACATGTGAGTGGAGCAGTATGGGGGAGTTTGCACTTCCAGTGTCCATGCTCTGCTTTTTTAATGAATAAAGAGGAATTCACTTTCCTGGGCTTTCAATTGGCTCCTGACCCATTTTACTTTTATTAAAGACATATTTGAGCTGAAATGTTTATTTCAGTAGAAAAGGGGAAAAAAAGAGAAAGGAAGCACACGTGAAATGAGAGAGAAAGTGAACATTGGCAGTGATTGCCGCAGAAGTCTTGAGGATTAGAATGAGTGCAACTTCTTCCAGGCCAGTTATCCTCCAGAACAACTCAGGTGCATCAAACCGGTTACAACACAGGGCTGTGCTAGCAAGGGAAGGTGAGAAAAATCAATGAGAGAAGACTAGAGGGGATATTTCAAAGAGTCCAAGGACCTGTTTGCTCAGATATTGGTGTATGCCAGCACAGCAAAACAGCCTGCAGTTGTTTTTTAGAGAACGAGTGTAGATAAATTTCTTTACACAATAAAAAACACCACCTCACATAAAAGGCCCAGTCCTTCAAACTCAGCTGTGGAAAGGAAACAGGGACCTGCTGAATCAGACCCCAAATACAGAATGAAGGTTGCCTATGCAAACTTAATTTTGTCCCCTTGTGCATACTCATTAAGATTACATACTTCTTTTCCCCTGCATCATTTAGAACACATAATGCTGGTGATCACTGAATGGGCAGTTAGTCAAGATTTTGTTTTATCCTCATTGTTCAGTGTTAGGCCTCATGACTTACATATTTACTGAACACTATTGAAACCCAGCCAGATGGTTTCTTACCTCTCTTGTGCTCCCCCTCCCCATGGCAAATGCTTTGTCCCAGGTCTCCCTCTCTCCTCCCCTACCCTCAACTCCCAATCCCTGTCTGCTCTCAGTCCCAGTCTCTCTCCTCCATCCCCTCCTGGTTCCTAGACTCCTTTCCCAGCCAGTCCCAGTTTCTGCCCCAAGGGCCAGGTCCTAGTCCCAGATATCTTGTCCCTATCTACTCCCTCCTCTGCCCCTTCCCACAAAGTCTGGCTCTTGGCCCCTCTACATGAGAGTCAGGCTGCTTCCTCCTGGGAGCCAGCAGGGACACTGAGAGGCAAGCACTGGTGAGACAGTCTCACTGTTCTCTGGTGCCTAACACCACAGCAACACACAGCGTCTGAGAGCGGCAATTGCAGGGAAAGTCCAGCTCAGCCCCTGCAACCGTGGGCAGGAGCATGCTCAGTGTAGACAGAATCTTTGGAGAATTTAGCTTCCAAATTCTAACAACTTTCTACTGAGCATGTGTGAAATTATATTTTTTCAAAGGCTCATAACTTGGCCAATTTCCCCCCCCCCACCCACAGGAATAACAAAAGGCATATCCTTACCACAAAAGGCACCCCTGCCAAATTTCAAATCCCTGCTCCAAAATATGGAGGTGCTAAAGCATCTCAACAAAAGAGGCCATAGGAATATTTTTAACAGTAGCAAAACAATATACTTTTCTCTCACCTTATTTTTGGAAATGGCTGAACCATATTTTCTGAAACTTAAAAAAAAAATAATAATTCAGCCCAAAGTAGATATAGCATAGAAAATTTCAGGCAAATGGTTAAAGTTTGGCAAAATTATAAGCAATGGAAAATTCTTAATATGGAATGTGACAAGCAGCCTTCACCTTAATCAGCTCCATCTATAATATATACATGCTCATAATCCTCTTATGTGTGCAGCCACCGGGGGAGGGGGCAAAGATGCATTTGGCCTGAATGTTTCCTCATGTAAGAAGTTTGAGCAGGATACTGGTATCAAGTTAATGGGACTGTTTTTAGCTGAAGCAGTAGTGGCTCATATTTTTAAATTCAATGTGTTTCACATACACATGTGTATTTATATACATACATACTGTTCGGGCAAGGACCGTGCCTTTAAGTCTGGAAAGCACCTAACATATTGTGGGCACTACAGGAAACAGATACTAGTAATATAGATACAGAAAGATAGGGAGTTCTTTGATTTCCTTAAAGATGAAAGGTTCCATATAAATTCACCTATAATGTGTCTAGTATGTTAGCTACTTAACCTGCCTCCATCTCATTCACTGGGGCAGCACACCCAGGGAAGATAAATAGACACATGAAATCATCAGTGTGGTTGGGAAAATGGATTCCCATTACGAGACAGTGAAGATCATTGATACCTTAAAGTGTGTTTCCAATTCAGAGGGAAATATTCCCATGGCTCACACAATACATTTTGAAATATACTTTTGTTCCGTTGAATTTAAACCACATGCAATAGCAGCTATTGCAACTGCCACATATGTGCAGTCTGAAGTCTAGGAAGCTTCACACAGGGCTGTAATCTGAACAGCGGAGCGCTGAGACAGAGGATGTGACTAGCTGTGGCAGTAGGGAAAGCAGGTGGCAGAGCAGCAGGGAGGAAGACTTGCCAACCACACATTGCAGGGAGTCTGAAAGGAAATAATTTGTTTAGCAAGTTTGCCAAATAATATCTATATTTATTATGAATGCACCAAACTTCACGTATTTCTTCTCATTGGAGGGTTCTTTCCTCCAGTGTGAGTGCGTCGTTGTCTCCACTTAATAAATGGAGACAAAACATTAACAGCTACAGAAACCACTGCAGCAAACAGAGCTTAGCCCTAAGTGTAAGAATCAGTAGAACTGTATGCTACCAATGCACATCCACAAATCATGCGAGATTCACTGCAGACTGGGTCCAAGTTTGCTCAAATGTTCATGGACCTTGGCAATCTCTACATTTATCTAATCTGAGTTTCACATTTGCAATAAATCTACAAACGGGCAAATTTCAGGTTCCATGGCAAACCATTTGAGCAGCTCCAGTTACTAGCTATTTCTCTAAAAATAGCAACAGAAACATCATGTGGGGCCCAATTTAAAAAAAAAAAATCCTCAGAGCCAGACTTTCAAACACTCAGCACCCACAACGGAGGCCATGTTTTCAAAAGAGCTCAACTCTCATTTAGGCCCCTACATTCGAGCTAATTAGAAAAGGAAAGGTTTTTTTTTCCCATAGAAAATTTGGAGTTTTCATCATCAAAAAAAAAAAAAAAAAAAAAAAGAAACATTCTTGGTTTGGTTTATTTGTTTTTTAGTGAAAACACAACATTTTTCTTGGTAAGCAGACATTTTTCATTTGTCAAACGAATTATTTCCTTTAGTCAAAAACCCAAACTTCCATTGAAAACAATTGCAATAGAAATTTTTTGACCAATCCTAACATAAATACAGGCCTCGATTTTCATAAGATCACTACAGCCAACACACTGAGATGTTTTGAAAATTCAGCTACTTATTTTGCTTTACTGACAACGCAACATGTTTGCACTTTTGTTAATTAGTCTGAGACTTTCAAAGACACCTGAGAGGTGTGGATGCTGATGGAAACTGGGCCTCCAAATCCTTCGTGTGGCTTTGAAAATCTCAGCTGTCAAGTTTAAACCTTGATTTTTCAAATGATCTAAGCAGACCTAGAAAACATTATAGATCACAGGTTCTGATAATGAAAAGCTTCAGTTCTGCAGCTCCATCAAAGTTTTCCAGGAGCAGAGGAACTTACCTTTTTCAGGAGCGAATCATGAAAGTAAAGTCCAGTGGAGGTCCTATACTTTCCAGGAATAGAGCTTCAGCCCCGGGAGCTTAGATGCTCCATGGAACTGGAACCTGAAGCTTTGTAAGAGTAAAAGGACATAACTGACTTTGGTTTATCCTGGGGTTTGGTTAAATGGCAGTTGGAAAATTGGGCTCGCACTGTAGTAGTATGCAATGTTAAGTAAATGGACACTTACCTGTACTTGAAATCCATAAATAGGAACATTTGGGAAGAAAAACAGGAATGCACCTTTCCTCTCAGTTGAAAAGCGTTTGGCTAGAGGACATTTCCAGATGGATAGAGTGGAAACTCAGCACAAGCAGTCAGAATGTTTGCAGTTGTTTTACCCAGGAGTTAAAGTAGCACAGGCTGGGAGTTCCCCTTCTTTTCCCTGGCTTAATGCTTCCCATAGATCCCCCTCATTGGCTGGTGTGGTGAGATTTCCCTCTCCTGTTTCAATCTCCACTCACCCACTGGTTACAACAGTGTTCCATGATTTATAACACTGATAATCTGAGCAATCCATAAACAACAGACGGAACATTCCCAAAATAATAAACAGAGCCCAGAACTGTGAATTAAGCCCCTTGACAAGGTAGATGCCTGGGCGGTAATTCTCAGGGTCTGTGAAGCTAAAATCCTAGCTATGTAAAGGTAATGCTTTTGTAAGTCAAACTAAAAGTCTCATTATCACAAAACTCCAGTGATCAGAACTCTGACTTGTTCACTGGGAATTGCCCAAGGAGAAGGCTATTTAGCACACTTTCTAATTAAAATAAGAGAACTAGAGTTCCATGATTAGAATAAATTTCATTTGTGTCTGAAAAATATTCAGCAGATTGCGCATATATATGTAGTTTCAGGGCTGAGATTTTCCACCTACAGTGCATCAATAAACAAAATCGCAAGCAGGCCTTAACGAGTACCCTAAAGTGTCTCAGAGATACCACCCCAGGCCACAATGTTGCCAGCTCCTATGAGCTATGCAGGGTCAGGTCTGGTCTGGTTTTGGATGCTACAGAAAGAGAATGAGGCATTTGATTTAGTAGGTGTCTCTCCCTGACTGTGAATTAGAATTAAACCAGTCTCCCATTGAAGTTCTAATGGTCATTATGCTCTTGGAAATGCTGCTCAGGGGTTGGGAAAACTGAGGTTCTGTCCATTTTGACTATGGCACTACCCATGAGATTGCAGATGTCTTAGGTAAATTCCAATCTGGGAGCCTCATCCTGGTCTCACTGAAGTCAATGGTAACAGTATTTTGTGCCCTGTTACATCCTGACTACTTAACTCTCCTGGTTGTTTCAGTGCTCTATGGCATTCTTTGACACTTCCTGCCCTAAACTGTTTAGCACTGCTGCCATGTTCTTTTAGCCACCTACTGTGTTCTACCTCAGAGGTGGATGCATTACAGTGGTGGGTGAAGTGATTTACATATAGATATAGACATAAAGGGCCAGGTTTCCAAGAGCTCAGTGTTTCTTTTGAAAATGTGGCTTTCATTAACATTCCTAAATGGAAGCTGAGATCGCTTGAAAACCTGGCCCGATTGTGGGTGTTGAGCTTTTGTGAAAATTCTGTAGCTATGGTAGTGTTTTGAGATGGAAGTGCTTTGTAAATGTCAAGAATTATTATTGAACCAAATCTTGAAGTCCTTTACTCAAGCAGGGTCCCATTGGCTTCAATGCTAGTTGTGAGTGAGTAAGGATCACAGATTAATCTTGAGAAAATAAACCAACCAAAACTACATTTAAGTTTTCTGTGTACACAGACATGAATCTATAGACTGCACGCTAGGACTATCAATATTCATGCTTCCTTCGTTTGCCTTTGACTAATGCTACAATGATTTTTGGACAGAGGAGCTTAAATATTTTATTAATCCTAAAATGCTGAATACCAAACTCATTTGAAATCTGGTGCTTTTCAGGGAAGTTTATCTAAGGCTCAAAGTCTTAATAAGAAAAGTGAGGGCGGGAAAGAGAGAGAATTTCAATAATCAGAAAATAAATGAGTTCAGCTGGTTTTTCGCTCTGGATCTAATTTTCAAGAAAGTGGACCAGAAAAGTACATGAAGCTGGCAGAATCCAAGAGTCCCAGCTGTGGAATACCCTCTAGATGAAGATAGATAATGAAAATGTTTCACTGGCATCATCAGGAGGGTCGATCTCATCAGGTTGGGGTTAGAACTGCATTGACAAAGCAATGAACGAAGAGCCTCACATCATTAACAAGTCTAACACAGCTGACCTTGGCTGGCCGGCACTGGGATTCCTGCTGCAGCAGGTGTGCAATGCCAGAGGATAGAGCTAACAAATGAGAAAACAGGTTTAAATGTTGAGCCTTCAATAAACATGGATGAGAAACTTTTGCTATTCATGTGCTCAGAATTCATGGTATTTCAAGAATGCTGGCATAGAAACCTTCCAAAACTCAGAACAGAGTATGAAGCTTAATTGTTTTCCATCTAACCAGTCTCCTTTGATACAATGTAGCCAGGGGGTCAAATTCCCCACTTGGGTAAGTAGACACAATTGCATTGATGTCAGGAGAGGCGTGCACCCATGCACCAATGGTTAATTTGGCTCATGGTCTAGTGGAGGGGCCAACCTGCTGTGGAAGCTACCTTCCTTCCTCTTGCATAAATATGGGTATGTCATCACTGCAATCTGAGGTGTGATTGCAGCTTGGGGACACGTACCTGTGCCAGCTTTCCCCATTGCTACAAATAACAGCATAGAAGTGGTGGTACGGGCTTCAGCACAGGCTGTACAAGCATGCCGAGAACACTAGGTGCACATTTGCATTGCTAGATTGTGTTAAAATCTAAGCTGCCACCACTACCTGGCTCATTTTAGGCAGGCTAGCATGGCCTACGGTGGGTCTGTCCACCTGAGCTGCAATTACACCTCAGATTACAACATAGACCTACCCTAAAATTTACAGCCATCACCACAACAGCAGTGATGTGGACCCAGGCCTGAAAGATGAGAGTGAGCAAAAACTTCCTGCAACTCAGTTGGCCAGGATCAGGGGGATGCAGAGCCCCCTTTGCACACACACCTCCTGAGTTGCACTGTGCACTCTGCAGTTGTGCTGATGAGCATGGCTATTGGTGTGTAATTTTCTGCTCTTGCTGAGTGCTGTTCACCCTGGGTATAGCCTAAGGCCTGCCCCTACTATTTTGAGGACTTAAGTGGCCTTTGAGTGTTCTGCACAGGGGGTCACTTTCACCCTCTGTGATTATTGTAAAATTCCACTACTTATAGGTGTGGTCCTGTGCCTGTTGAAACCAATGGCAAAGCTCCCATTGATTTCACTTCTGCTGGATCAGGGCCAATCAATTAAATCTGTAGAGGTGAGATTCATTCATTATTGTGAAAGACCCTGTCTAAAATAAAATTAAAATCATTACATCATGACAAAGTACCAGCCGTACTTTGTCATGGGAATGGTTACAGAACTGGCCAATAATCAGTAACAAATGAGACATGTGATCCTCCTCTCAGTTACACTAGTTCAATTCCATTGACTTCGATGGAGTTATTCCTGACTTACACTGGAGTGGGTGAGGAGAATTGGGATCTAGTTCTTCTTTGTGATCTATGTGAAACTGGCACAAATATCTCCTTTGGAAAATATGAAGGCTGCCTAAATGGTATAAAAGGTGTTTTTAAGGTATGTTCCCCTTGCATCTGCCAGACAGCAGCTTTTTTGCACTGTTGGCTTTGACTCACCCTTTCATTGAACAGCTGTTACTTGTTGGCAATCATCATCTTCTTGTGGATTATTTCTGAAACAGCAAGTGACAGCAGCAATCATTTCAGTTGCCCATGCCTAATGGATGCCTGTCAAAATGTTACTTTGCAATAGCTTGTAGGAGGTGTTAGCAACCCCACAATTGGGCCGGATTTTCATAAGAGCCCAGCTTTCAGTCCTGACCAGCTCTGGTTTGAAGCTCTCTATAGTAGAAACCCAAAGGGAAAACACCAGGATGAATACTCCTGGAGGATTGTAATAGTAACCGCAGGAATCAGTTGATTCTGACCCCTGTCATGTGGGAGGGGTATTAACTTTGGTAGCCCTGACCCAGGTCAGATGACTGATGTCAGGCAATCAAGTTCAGTTTCTTACCAGCAGTCCTGTATGTCACATCTTTATTACAGGAAGCAAGGGCCTTAGCAGGCAGAGGCAGGTGTAATTTATACCTTCTCATGCTGGTTTTTCTGAATCTAGCCATGTAATTTCAGCTGGGAAATAGAGCAGAACCCTCAGGAGCAGATGAACTTTGTAAACCAAAGATCCTGTTTTTCTGCAGATGTACATGGTAGTCAAGAAAAGAAAGGCAGGAAGGAAATCACACACCTGCCTCCAAACAGTGCTCCCAGTGAGGGTCTCAGAGCAGCTAATGTAAACTGAGCTGGAAAGCTGTGTGTTTCTCTAGCAAAGCGCGGATGCTTTGGAAAACCGTGCAGAATCTGTGCTACCACAGCCATGTCCTGACATTCCTATTCTGGACAATGTTCCAACAAGCATCAGCGCTTTGTTAGGAAAGTCCATGCAGATCTCCATCAGGGTTTACATTCCCATCCTTAACCACATAGATTACATTTCAAACTCAGTAATGCTTCCAGCAAAACCAAATCCTCTTAATGGATTCTACTAAAACCTTTCTCTTTCACTCTTCCCCATTATGCTGTATTTACCCCTTCTGGGCTAATACAGTTTTCTTTCTATGGGCAATTTCACAATAAATATGAAAACCCCAGCTTAATTAGACAAACCAGTGGTAAAACCCCCAAAAGAGCAATTAGATTTTATGTGAAATACTCCTGGCAGAAATCTTGGAAAACTTACATGTAATTAGTACTCCGGTCTAGCCCCACTACAGCTTTAAATACAATACTTTAGGGCTCATAATACCAGCATCTTTGGGAATGCAATTGACCAGTGATAGCAAATTTGCCAGTAATGTGCAGATTCACTGGTTTGATACAGTTACACATTGTTAATCTAATGATTTTAGAAGCTATTTGGAGTATATGGTCCCCAAGTCTCCACTAAACTTGCTAGTCTGTTGTCCTCCCTATCCAATATACCTCATATTTTAAAGACATTTCTTCACCATTTGAATGATGAGAGTCTTGGGGTTAAAGCACTGGACTGAGACTCAGGACAATTGGCTTCATTACCTGGCTGTGCCACTTGGACCAATGCTTAGGGCCTGATTTTTAAAGGTATTTAGGCACCTAAAGATGCACCTAGTTGATTTTCAAAAGCATGTAGGTGCCTAACCTTCATTGATTTCAATAGCATTAGACACCTACCTGCATCTTTAGTGCCTACATTCCTT